TTTCCACTGTCCTTTCCTGCTCTTTCATCCAAATATGTATTTGTGCTCTTTGGTTGTCAACATCTCCCCCATTCCTTGAGTTAGACATGCATTCAGAAGCTAAAGAAATTATTTTACAATGCAATGAGGAGTCAGCCTCCTTCTTCTACTGCATCTTGGGCTACATGGGGACCTTGGCCATAGCCAGCTTTATTGCCTTTCTTGCCCGTAAATTGCCTGACAGCTTTAATGAAGCCAGGTTCATCACCTTTAGCATGCTGGCCTTCTGCAGTGTGTGGCTGTCCTTTGTTCCAGCCTATCTGAGCACGAAAGGAAAAGCTATGGTAGCCATGGAGGTCTTCTCCATCTTGTCCTCCAGTTCTGCATTACTGGGGAGCATATTTTTGCCAAAATGCTTCATCATTGTTTTCAGGCCTGAGCTAAACCACAGGAAGCAACTCATAAAGAGGAATTAGTACATCATGTGTTCTTTCTCCCTATGAGAAATTGATGGAAAAAAAGACTATAGGGAACATATAGAAGCTGTTGCTTCTGTCAGATGAGGATTTATGGATTATGGATTATGGATTATTATTATTATTATTAAAAATTAATGCAATCATTCATTGTTAAAAAAGTTCTCTTTCTACTGTATTTCTAACTAGTTTCCAAGATTTTTAGCCTAACCTCTTTCAATGCAGCAGGGGAAGAAGACTTGGAACGTCTAGCTTTTTGGTTACTGTTAGGAGATTTGATATATTGAGTCCAAGGATGTCCAGCAGTTGCAGCTGCCACTTTCATGGTTTTTATACTTTCAATTAATTAATCACTGTGTAAATATAGTAAAAAGCTAATTAACATTTTATGGAAATGTATTTAACACAGTATCATAGTGGATCAGCTTTGGATTCATTACGGTTGCTTGAAATGCAAAATTTAGAAAATTTCTGAAACCTGTACATATAAGTATATTTTTTAAAAAAGGTTTCTAGCCTTTTTTAAATATGCACCCCTCTCTTATATGAGAAGGACCTCCTAGATGAAAATACCTGGGGAAAATAGTGTGAGTCTTCCACTGGCTACCTCTCTCTCTATATATATGCACCCAGAGTTAAATATAAATCCAGAGATAAAATTAGGTCACAGATAGAGATGAGAGAACAAGGATAATTTTATTCTCTTTGGAATTTGTGAGGTGTATATAGCCACAGATTTTGCTATGGATGTAAACCCTCTTCTGGAATTGAACCCCAAAGGGCGTGAAGCCCATTGTAAGATCTATGGCTACGTTCCGTTGACCAATTCCAAATAGAAAAAAACCATCTACTGCCTCCTCACGATCAGTGTAAGTGAAGACACCAGTCAGTATACATCAATTGTGCAAACAAAAGAGAAATCACCTCCCTTCTAATGTGGTGTGGGTGGAAGTCATGTAAAACTTCTTAAAATGAGGGCATGAAATTAAATAATATCAGTGCATCTGAATACTTCATACACCATTCTACAGATGGGGGGTATCTGTTCTGTATTTTCTGTAATAAAAAAGAGGAATGTTCATAAAGCACAGAACCAAAAGCATGGAAAGTCCCTCCATAGAGGACATGTCCTTTTTTTGTTTGTTTGATTTGTGAAGAAATTATGTTGGCAACTATAATAATTTTGAAAAGTGAAGAGAACAGGATGAAATTTGGAGAGAGAGCAGCCAGCAAGAACCAACCCACTTTCAGATTCAAACATGGGCCACAGATCAAGATGAGGACCATGGATTTAGAAAGATTCCCCTAATGGCATTGGAGAGATCAGTCCACTCGGCAGTGCCTTGGACTCTCCATGACAAGATCATCTTAAACCTCCTTCTTGCCTCCCTCTCAGTCAGATGACCCAGAGTCCTTCATCATCTCCATGTTTAGAGCGTCCCATTACAGCCACCACTTCTGGGCCACCACTGTCAGCTGATTTCCTGGATGAAACCTCTCTTGTGGTTGCTATTGCTGCCCTATGGGCAACTCCTGCATAAATCCAACATGCTAATAGACCAGCAGTCAATCACCACCAGCCACTTTACCAGCTGGACTCTGTCCATGATCCTGTCTTGACTTTTTGACATGGCTTCTTCTTAGGCCCTGGAACACTCACCAACTTTGGAGGTGTCACCAGGTTTCTCTCTACCCCTTCCAGTGCCATGTCCTTCAAGCCTGCCAGTGTTCAATAGCCCTTCCATTCCTGCACACATATGTCCCAGATGGGTTTTATGTGCTATAGGAATGGGAAAATGGAGGCAGATGTGAGGCATTGCAATTGATCCTGTTCACCTAGATGTTTGGTTTGAGCATAGCAGGTTAAAATAGCTGAAATCTCCTGAAATCACCCTCACGATATTCCCACATTCACTCATATGAGAGTGAAAGGTTTGGAGGGATAGATCAATAGGCTGAAGGACATGGCTAATGCAGAATTCTAAGTATCAATACCAGTATCAATATTGATTAATACTAGCACCCTCTGCCAGAAAATATAAATGACCTCCTCCAAAGGGTTGATTAACTACTTTGTCATTCCTTAATACATTGAAAATGTTTCCTCTTCTTTACTAAACCATTCTTTTTTATTTACATGGAAAATGGGAGCTGCGTCCCATTCTATCTATCTATCTATCTATCTATCTATCTATCTATCTATCTATCTATCTATCTGATTTCTATAGCCGCACATCCCAGCATGTGACTCTTGCTTACTTTGTTGTAAGAAACGAACATGAATCTCAACAATAAAGGCTATTTTGTATTGCCAATTTCCCTTATACTACTAAAACTGGCATTTTTTTCATTTAAAAAAGAGTTATCCATCAGCAACTTATTATCTCACAAAAAAACAAAATAA